ACGGACACTACAACGAGGCACGACACTCACTTTTGCTGCGAAGGGCACCAGAGCAGTAGCCACGAAGGCAGTCGTTTTCAAAAGTTCGACCTGCCTCTCGAGCGGTTCGCTCGCTCGAGAGCGGATCGCTCCTTCGGGCATGTCTAGCCCTTGCCGCCAAACAAACAAACAAACAAACACACAGCCAACCAACCACAACCAAAACCAGTTCAAGCAGCAGTGAGTGTCTCATGGTACGCGAAAAACATGCAGAAGGGAAGCGGGCATGTCTTCGTTTTGGACCCAGTCGAGTGTCTGAAGTGCCGAGGCTAGCACTCACAACCTACTAACAAAAGGGGTGAAGCACCCAAGAAGTGCTCTGGAGGGCTCCCTGTACTGAGCTCTCTTTTTCAGCTGTGCAACACAGCAATTCCGGGCGGAACGCCGGTGACTTTGTCACCTGGCTGTCACGCCTTTAAAGAAAAAACCTGCCTGCTTCAGCATGCCTTGCGGCATTCGTTGGAGGCAAGGGGGCGCCGGTACCAGGTGCCTCACCTCCCCTTCCTTCAGCCGGCTCACTCGTCACCGTAGATGCCGAGGTGTGACCTTCCGGAGGATCCCCTTGTCCGGCAAGGTCAACTGGCCGCCCGGCAGCGGTTGTAGTTGATGGTGATGTAGAGCTCGGCCCAGTAGGGGGGCTTCTCCGGTGATATTTCTGAGGGCGGTTCGCCCGACGCCTGAGCTGTCCAACTTGGGTTCCCCAGTGTCTCATCCTGGTTGGTGGTAGTAGTCCTCGGGTCGGATGAGCCTGGGTTCGGCCTGGTAGAGGTGCTTTGCTCATCTTCGGGTCCCCTTGAGGTCGGGTCCCGTGGTGGTGGAGCACCTGCCGACTTCGAAGCTGTCCCAGGGGTTTCGGACGGTGCATCCGGTTGATGTGCTTCCCTGTTCTCCAAGTAGTCGAGAAAGCGCTCCATGGTCAGGCACCGGTCGACATCTTCTTGGGTCCAGGTAACGCCTCGTTGCTCCAACCGGTGCAGTCGGTCCAAAAGGCCCAGTCGGTGCGACCTCCCGAGGCTTAGCATCGGCGGTAACGGCCTGTCAGTCTGCAGCTGGGTGGCTCGAGGCTGGAGCGACACGTCCCCATATTCCATCTGGTGCTGGATTGCACGCAGGCGGGAACGATGCCGGATAAAAGCCTCGGTGTGGCTCAGCCCCTTGCTAAGATCCTCCAAATACTTGGGATCTTTATTCGCCGAGGCCTGGTTTGCTTTCACCTTCTGCCTCCCACTGCCCTTCGCTCCTTTTCCCCTCATCTGGGCGGTACGCCTCACAGTGTCTGCAAGAAGGCCACCTATCACAGCACTGGAAGCGTTGGCGAGGTTCTCGAGGAGGGAGCGCTGCTGCGTGGTTGACAAATTTCTCATCCGCCGTTCCAGGTCGGAACATTCCTCCTCGATTCTGGCCACCTCTGCTCTCTCCTCAGCTGTCAGCTCCACATCAGAATCCTCCTCCTCTTCGGCTTCTTCAGGGGCTGGTTCAGCCGTTGGAGCTGTGGGTTCTGTCGTGGTAGCCGTAGTGGTAGCTTTCGGAGTAGCCTTGGGTGGTGCACCCTTCGAAGGGGGCTTGGTCTCTCCTGACCCAAGAGCCTCCGGGCCCACATGCCCATGCAATTTGCAGCATGGTCTGCTTCCGCCATAGACGCTGCCAGAGGCATGTCGTGTGTAGGCTGGTCGTAGATGCAGGGGAGGGGGCTGCGGCCCGGCCGGGGAGGTCCTTCTCCTGGGTGAAAATGTTCTCCGAGGCTAGGCCTCTGGAGAAAGTCCCGGAAGTTGAAGTTCGGACGGTACGTCCCGGTGCTGGCACTCATGGGCGGAGCTGGGTCTTGGGGTTCCGGATATGCTGACTGGAGGTCCATGAGCAGCGGGTTGGTGCGGTTCGCCTCCTGGATGCTATCCATATACCCATGTTGTTGTGCCCCATGAAGAATATCCTGTGCCACACGTCGGATGTATACGACGCCGACTCTGCCCCAGGATTGGACCAGCCACTGAGGGATCTTCTCGACATAGCTAAATACTGGAACAAAGACCAGGGAATAACCAGTCTTGGGGTGTCAGCATCCTGTCACGGGTTGTAAACCAAAGAGCTTCCCCATTTGGTACCACTATAGCCAGTGGCCTCGTTTCACCCACAGGGCCCCTGGCCTTCTTGGGGACTGGGTCCGGGCTCAAGTGGCTACTGGCGGTAGCGCCCAACCCTGTGGGTTCCTCCTGCCCTGGCTCTGGGGCTGGTTCAGCCACGAAATCCCCCGGCGAATAGGAGATCGGCCTCGACGATGTGCTCATCACCGGTGATCCGGACTGAGGTGGCTGCCAAACGGTATGCCCCGGGTAAGCCTTCGCAGGAATGCCAGGAGATTTAGCCGTAGGAGGAGTGTAGGTCGGAACCGGCTCCGGTTCTTCCACCTCCATTGCTGTTGGCTCAGTTGAGGTGGGAGCCACCATGTCATCTGTGGCACTGGGTGTCACTCCTCCTCAATCTCAACCACTTCCTCCTGGTCGTCCACGATCTCGTCAGTCCCCACAGTTGTGGCTGGGTGTGACCCTTCAGTGGGGGGAGCCTGAATGCCCATCCCCGCCCCTTGGTTCACGATCTCCCGCCGGTTGAGGATCACCGGCGCGGCCGAGGCACCCTTAGCAACGAAGCGGTCTTCTGCGGATTGACCATTGTTGATGAGCGGAGCGCTCTTCGGCCTCCACTTGCCACATTCGCAGGTGCTTCGCTTGACGGACACCTCGTCCTGACAGTGGGGGCAGATCCAATGAGTGGCCTGCTCGTGGACATTCCCTTCAGCATGTTGGGAAGCACTGCACGTATTGCAACCATATCGATGCAGCCCATTCACCTCGCCACATCTCCCGCAAACCCAATGCATTGTATTGCTAAAGACGGCTGGTGGCAGGGCTTTGGGGGCCGCTTTGGTGGGAGGTGGCCCTGCTGATGGGCGGTACGCTCCTGCCGGCGGAGCTTTGGTCGGTCTTGGAGGTGGCGCCTGCGCAGAGCCCGAAGCTGTAGAGGTCGGTGGAGACGACGGCCTTGCCTTCGGTGGTGCTTTGCAGGCTGGGCGGTGCGCCCCCGCTGCTCTCCAGCTCCTATTATCCCCACGGGGTTGGTTGCAAGTATGGCAGTTGGGTGCCTGGATGGAGACTTTGGCTTTGCAGTTGAAGCACCACCAGGTATCGAAGAAACCCTCCCTAGGAGGGGGGGCTTTAGTCTTCGGCCCACTGTCGCCGCTAGGGGGCGGGGGCGGAGGCGCCTTCTTTGAGCTCGTGGGAGAGGCACCAGTTCCTGAAGATTCGGCTTCAGTTCAGGGCGGTCACGCCTAGGTCCAGAAGGTCTGGACCCGGCCCTCCCACGGTGGGTACCACCTGTGCCTTTTCCCTTTCCTTTGGTTCCTTTTCCGAAACCAGGGAAGCGCTCTGATCTCCATCGCCGGTGGGAGCGCACCCATCCGCATCCAAAGCACCAGCCTTCTCCCCAGTACTGGTGATGACCGCATTGGCGACAGAACCTCAAAATCCGACCTTTCCTGACCCTGGGGTAACGGTCAATTTGGGGGCCGGAGGAGTCTGAGTCCAGGTCCCAACTGCCGTCACTCTCAAAGTCTGCTTCGGAGATGTCGGACATGTCGGACACCTCCTCCCAAACGTTGCCGTGGGGGTCCTCCCAAACGTTCCTTCCTTTCTGCCTCCAGGGGCCCTTGCCCTTGCCCTTCTCGTACCAAGTGTAGCTCGAAGAGGGATCGGGCGGTGGCGCCTTCGAAGAAGAGGAGGATGAAGGACCGGGCCGGTCATACCACGAAGAGCTCGAGGATGGACCCGGTGGTGGTGCCTTAGAAGAGGAAGATGAGGAAGGACCGGGCCTGCTTGAAGGTTCTGGCTCAGGTTGAGGAGGTGCCTTCGAAGGAGGAGGAGGGGCGGCTCCACCGACTCCAAGGAGGTTGTCGTGGAGAATACGCAACCCAGGGTTCAGGAGGATCTCCTTCGTGTTCCCAAGTGCCGACATTCGTAGTGTCGCATTCTCCTTCTCCGCTTCCGGCACCTTATCCGGGTGGAACACCAAGGCTTTCCGCTTGTAGGCCTTCATGACGTCGGTCATCGACGAACCGGGTTCTAGGCCGAGGAAGGCCCAGGCGCTGCCCCACTGATTAATCCAGTCNNGGGCGTGCCCCATGCCGGCCGGGCGCGGTGCGTTATCAGCCATGGCCACGTGGGACAGGGGCGGAACGCCGGGAAGGAGAGTGGATCACTTGCTTAGGCAAAAAATGCGGCGGCAGAGAGGAAGATTCATCAGAAACAGTCTGCGATGCAAGGTCAATTGGAGCATACACCGGTGCACTCTCAGCATCCTGTGGACTACTAGCAGCAGACACTGGCGCGAGCCACTCGGGAATGCCCCCAAAATGCTGAAGAAAGACCGGCGGCTCAACAATCCCACCTTGAGCAATTCGACGCTTCAAGCGAACCCTCTGAACAAAGGTGAGCCCGGTTTGACGCTCAATGTCCTGGAGTTTTGTCCGGGCGGAGCGCCAATGGTCATCACTGCCACCGAATTCCTCATCTTCGGGACGTGGATCTTCGGGGCCTCCGCAGCGAGTGTCTGGGGCCTGTTCAAGGTCCTCCCGGTTGCTTCCTACTCTGCTGGGGGCTTGCGAGTGTTGTTGAGGCTGCAGAACGGGTCTAGAAGAAAGCATGTCCCTAGCACGATCCGGGGCGGCAGCCATATCAGTATACAGGTAAGCATGAACCGCATCAGACTTCCAGCCTCCAAAACGCTTCACTGTTTCCACATCACTGGTTACAGCAAGCATGGCGGTGGCGCCTCCCTTTCTCAAGCTATGCGAAGCAACCAAGTGGGCGGGGTACCCGAGGGCAACAGCAGCCAACCGAAGAACCTCCGAAACCCCTTCTCAAGACACTCCCACTCCTTGCCAAGCACACACCGGCAGCCCGCTGTCCTGCAACCAATGAGGTTAAGCCTGGCGTGCTCCTGCAGTGCCCTAACTGGGCAAATATCGTCTCCAGTAGCATGCTGTAATCTGACTTGCCCTCGCCCGAACTGGTCACCTTTGGAGTCTCTGATTTGTACTGCCACTGCCGCGCAGCACGCGTGCAGGGGCGTTGAGTGCGTCGGTGCCCGGGAGATACTCCGAGGCTCGGAGCATGTAGAACCAACCCAGACAGAGGGACGCCCACATAGCAGCTTTCTCCTCGGCTGGGCGGTTCGACCCTTGCAAATACGCGCGCAGCCAGGCAAGCATGCGGGGGGTCACTGGAACCTTGCGCACGGGCGCGCCATCCCAACGGTGCATACCGGCAAGTGCGGCCCAAAGGCGAACTCGCCCTGCCAAAGGGTCTTGGTACCCAGCGGCGATATGCGCGTAGCGAATCCCGGACAGACGCTGCTTAATCCCTTGGGCGGTGCGCCCCATATCTGGTGGAGGAAGACAACAAACCGAATGAGCCACTCTTCTTCGGCCTGTTTCTCGACCCGCGTCTCCCCTTGCAAAAAGGGGGAGACGCCCGTCCCAGACATGAATGTTGCCCACTGCTTGGTACCTGCCACCCCGGTTCCTGCACAACACGCCTGATTGCATCGTCCTGCCCTAAGGCGGACACTAGTTCCTTCCATTGACTCGCCGTGAGACCCTGCCCTCTGGCGATCTCACCCAGGCTGAGCCGTCTCGCGGCCCCAGTTCCGCTGGGGATAAGTGTAGCTCCCGGCCCCTTAATCTCTTTGGTGGGACCCACAAATGCGCATGCGGGCCCGGATACCTTGTGAGCGAGGCACTTGGGTGGAACACCTGGACCTTTGATACGCCCAAACGGGTGAGGTAGCCAAGGGTCGCCTGTCGTCACGATCCCCGGCTCTTGCACAAGCACCCCAGAGATACAGTGAGCTTCTGAAGCTGTCCCAGGTTAAGGGGAGGAGGGGGAACATCTCTCCAGCAAAAACCTATGATCCTTCTACGGGCGGTAACCGCACCAAGATGAGAGCTGACATAGCGGCATGTTTCCACGTGGGGAAAATAGGCTTTGAGGGTTTGCTCCAACTGGTGAACGTCAAATTGCCTGGGGCAATCAACCACCAGTTTTTTGAGCTGGGCGCTGCTCTCCGCCAACACCCGTTCCAGCCGTTTACGTTCCCTCCCAGACGGGTCCTGCGAGAAAGTGTACCAGGCGTATGGTTGGTCTTCGGAGCTCCAGACCCCGAACAGACGGAGGGCAATCCCGCAGCTGGTAACTTCAGGGTAATCTTCCACATGGAGGGGTTGCCAGGGAACGCGTAGGCATACCTGCTTCAACGGCTTTGGGGCTGGTTCAGCGGGGTGGGTGAGCTGTCGCGCCACCTGACCCTGGGGCTCATCCCCGACCGGGTAGACCAGAGCGGAACGCTCAGCGTCCCTCAAGAAATCTTCCCACTGGAGTCCTGTTTCGACCTCTGTCCACCCTTCGGCCTCAAGCTGCCCCCGCACGAGACGCAGGTCCTCCCGGCTGAGCCAATCAGCCAACTGGTTCCGATACGTCCGGATGTAGATGGGATGTACCGTGAAGTGGTTCTCTGATTCCAAGCGCTGAACCAATCGCACCAACAAGCTGGCTGCTCGATTTCGCGGCCGGCGTTTGTGCAGCCAAGTTCTTACATTCATATTGTCCGTGACGTACAAAACCAGCTCACCAACCCATTCGCTCCGGCGGTGGCAGGCTAAGACTACGAAGGCCAGGAGTTCCATGACCGAGATAATGTCGGTCTCATCTCCTTCTCTAGCCAAGCTCCTCAGACCTTCACGATAGCGATCGACATGCTCCGCGTGAAACACCTTCGCCTTCCAATCGACGGCTCCAATTCGATCAAGTGTTGCGTCACCCCCCGTGATCCGAGCACGGGCGGTAACACCTGGTAGAGCGAGCCGCTCTCTGATCGGAAGAAGCTTTTCGAAGACCGAGACGAAGCTGCATTGCAGCGGTGCTTCGAGTTGCAACCTGATGAAGTCGAGAGCATCCCAAAAGTCCTCCCATCGTCGCCTCTCCTCATCGGCGTTGGCCGCTTCCACATGCACCAAGGTGTTGTTGGTGCCCCTGTTTCCTGAACTTCCTTTTCCCTGCAAATTCCCTTTCAGCAAGTGGTACAAAGTAGGTAAGTGCGGGGTAAGCGCGGGGCAAGCAACAGTCCAGTACTGAGCACAGCCAATCAGCTCTTGAAGAAGGCGCAACGGGACTTCCCGGCAGCCCCTTTGCAGGGCGGTTTCACCCAGGAGATATTTGGCCTTGATGCGCTTCGGTTCCGGGAGCCGGACCTCTTGGGTGTCAAAGTTCATGTGGAGGCCCCAAAGAAGCTGTGTCGTGGATGGTTCACCTTCCTCGGCCATCTTTTCCACATTCACCCCTTCTGGGCCCCAAACAAGCTGCATCGTCTCATCGAGCACAGCGAGAGAGTCAAACAC